ATAATAATAATAATAATAATAATAATAAAAATAATAAAAATAATAAATAATAATAATAATAGTTCAATGAGAGACTAATTAAAAATAATTTGGGTTTTGTTATGACAAATGCTCATTTAACTAGCCTCACATGCTTGGAATACATCGTGATAGGGGAAGCAACCTCGACCTTGACAGCGTGGTTGACAGATTTCATGCAAAATTTCCCGGACGTAGAATTTCACTTTCCAGAATGAGGATTTGAAAATAAGTTAAATGGTTACATTGCATACTCTTTGTTTCTTGTTTTATTCAAAATGTTTTTGGTTTTGGAAGCTGATTTCGACATTAGAAAAACATAGCCTACATGAAGTCATATTATAGTAGCTCGATGCCTATCAAATAAGTCATAAAATTCGCCATAATTCGTCAAACATTCGTGGTGGTCCCCACCGGGGGATCTAGGCGGCCCCCCCTGCCCCCTCGTCGGGGCCTTTAGCCTCTCCGTCGGGCAGGTCTGGCGCCATCACTGCGGATTTCTTTTATCTTTATATTTCAGTTTGAACCGTTCGTTAATCCTTAATGTGTACACCGTTCAGTTCATACCATTGATAAATCGTTATTTTAAACCGTTGAAAACTACACCGTAAGAAATAACAATATATGCTGAGTACGACTATGAATTTTGTTAGCACCGCTTTTAAAACGTATAGTCGTTACAGAGGAGGTCAGACCCCCGACCCACCCCAGATCCACCAATGCTCTTTCGTTTATTGCATTTCTTTCCGACATACAAAAATCTGCATAGTATATTTTCTGCCAAAAAGTGGGGTAGTCTAGTCTGAAAATTAGAAGATTGAAATACTACTAATGGGGTAATTAACCCCGCGCCAAAAGGAGATCAGAGGGGAAAAAAAGGAAAAAAAAAGAACTGGATAACACCTCTCTGCTGATATAAACATATGAAAGTCCAGGAAAAGCTATATAAAGCTATATAAAGTGTTTCGTGGAAAAGTGTCCTCTAAAGTTTGGAATAGGCCGAGGGCTATCACGGAGGTATTTTGTACCTTCGTGGTTCAGTCAAGGAGGTATTTTCTTCATGGTTCTAACATGGAGGGAGGGAACTGGAATCGTCCACTTCGACTACAGGGTGGTAATAGAATGTTTGTATTCCTTAGACCTTAGTACATCTTTGTAACTAGATAGTTACCCGTTGTTAAAATAGTGCGTATATTTTTACAATATAAAAAGAGTATTAGGCCTATACATCCCTGCACACTTAACAAGATAAACTAAATTTAAATTAAGTAATATAATCTGATATGTATTAAATTGAAATTTCTTAGAATGTGTAAAAAAATTTTATTCAATATATTATGTTGCACTGTCTGAAGATCATGCCACCCGGGCGCGTGTATTGTGAGTGAGATGAGTGTGCGCTGAAACTTCCGCCCATGCTCTATAAAGCGTGTTGCCTCCATTTTTTCTTCCTCTCAAGCCCGGTGGTACATTATTGCCTGCGATCTATTTTCTGTACGCACGTGGTCATTCAACAAAAATTGCCTTTTCAAATTACATTTGTCGTTGTTACATCAGCAGAATGGCTAAACCAAGAGTCTTTTTTGACATAACTGCCGGTGGAACTAATATTGGCAGAATTGTAATGGAGGTAATTTCTTTGTTTTTCCTGAGAGTTGGTTGCAATGATGATCTCCTTACATTTCAGCCGAACCGTGGTACCGACCGGTAGGTAGGCTGAGGCCTAGGCACTAGCAGTAGCTTCTTGGGCTAGCCTAGACTAGACGGTGCTGCTAGGCCTCTACACAATCTAGGCCCTATTTAGTCCCTAGGCTTCCTATTCGAACGTTGCTCTCCGTCCGTCCGCGCATTTCGGAAAATAAGGGCTGATTTCCGCGGAGGTACTGTAGGCCTAGGCTAGGCCGGTGTAGGCCCATATCGGCCGCTACCTATAGCGGCCACCCTCCAAAACGGCCGCCAATGCGTGTATATGTATGGAACGCCGATGACGCATTCACAATTAATTATACAATACCGCTCGCTAAATACAAAGCCTTCGAGTCAACTCGGCCCGGCAGGTTAAATCGGCCCTCTTTTTTATTTTATATATGTCTACACACTATATAAAACTACTTAAAAAATAACTATTAAAAAAAATAAAATAAATTGAAGTCACAAATTGTAAATATAATAAAACCATTGCTCGAAACATAACGTTCGATAGATTCTCCAATAAAGTATGGTATTCGTTTCTTATTATTATTATACTATATAAAGCTAGTTTGGATTTTATCTATTATATTATAATTTATATATAGGCCATATATATTTAATTATGTATACATATATATATATATAATTTATATAATAGGTTGAAAATTGGTTTCCTCCACTGAAGTATTTCATACATATGATATTCGTTTCTTAATTATTTATACTCAAAGTATGTACACGATTCATGCTATCGATTCAATCTTTTGTTACTCAATAAAAAGCAACAATACTAGAGTAGTAGGGTTAAAAGTTAACGTTACCACGGAGACGTTAATTGATATTTTTTGTCTTGTCTGGTGAAGCAAGCATGTTCATTGTCTAGCCAGAGTGAGTTGGTAAATCCCTACTCCAGTAGTTGTGTAACGAAAACATTTTGTTAGAAATCGTGTATGAGAAAACATTTACTGAAAAAATAGAATAGGCCCTATGCCAGTTTACAAAACAAGACTTTATTATGTTCTTGAAAGAACGTATGGCGAAATACTTTATTATTAAGATTGATTGTTTTACGAAGTAGTTTAGCATAATTTTTAGTAAAGAAGTGTTTATTTTATCCTGCAAAATATTCTAAGTTGAAACTTTATTGCTTTAATATAAGAAATTTAATTTAACTATAGCTGTAACTTATCAAGAAACTTGATTTGTATCTTAGAATAAAGTA